ATAGTGTTGGCAGTCTTGTATTCACGAGAGCTTAACAAATCACCTACTAACAGCCAGGAAGCGGAAAAGTACGAGATCTGTGACGATGAACAATGTTTTAATCTCGGCCTAGGTAAGGTAATGTTGTGCGTTTAATTGTTTTCACCGGCATCATTATTAGGACGCAAAGCCGATAATGAATAAAACGAATGATACTGTATCTTCAAAGACGTGAGTTATCTTCAAGTTTAACAAGTTATTACACTTTTTAAATGGTATATTTTTTTACCCATCTGGATATACCCATAGTCTAGAAGGATTTCGTTTGCCCGTAAAACAAAGTTGTAAAATTAGAGACTACAAGTCAAGGTAAAAAATTAAAGAAAACAATGGAAATATTGTCTTAATATGAAATATACACCAGATAACAGGGTCAAAATTAGGTTTCGTACCAGACGTTGCGGAAGAGTTCACTTTTCCTTCATTCAGGCCCCGTCCACACTATGCCTCATAAAATTGAATCCGATTTTTTATTCATTCGGTTAGGCCTGCCGTCCACACTAGTCCGGGCGATTTACACCGAAAACTATTTTTTTCGAATACGGTCTCCAGATTGGAACAATTTGAAAACGCCGGCTAGCCGTATAAGTGTGGACGGAAAACTTTTTTTTCGGTTTCGGTTTGAAAATTCGGATTCAAATTTATCCAGCTTAGTGTGGACGGGGCCTCAGATTCATATGTTAGAGTGGATGCAATAACAAATAGTAAACTTGCCCCCCAAGGAATATGGCGTCGGAAACAGTGAAAGGGTCTATTATACCGTGAAATAAAATCAAACTAAATACTAACTAATAGTATCTATCTAGTGACTAATAGTTATCAGACACAAAGAAATACCCAGGGGACGACATAACATGGTAATTATCATTTTACTCATTGAAAGTGCATCAGCTCATTGACACGTACTCCCTTGCTTTGAGCACTAGCAAATCTGACGATTCTGACACACAACGTACATGTTCTTCGTGTTTCAATAATGTAATGTCCAGTTTTAATTTTTGACCTTCTTGTGGAAATCTTGTCTCGAAGAAATATGAAAGACTGTAGACTTACATTAAGTTTTTGTACGTATTTGTTCATTAGTTGAGAAATTGTAAGCACCAATAAAGAGCAGTAAAGAAAATATAAAATAGATTTWAAAATGATTTGCATTTGCACGATTGAAGAATAATAAAGGCTTCACAATAAATTTCATTTGCTTAATGAGTAAAATGATAATTACCATAAAAGTTTAATTGCATCCGCTCTAATGATGACCAAAAAAGTCACGCATTAGCAGTTTGACATTAGCCTCGTTGGTTTTGAGGTGGCTGCCTACTTTCGAAAGTTCAGCCCATGATGTGGGCGGCTCAAAAACCGCTGAAAAATCTACAAGATTCAAAAAAACTCCTAAAAATCTAGGTTATATCAACATTTTAGGAAAAGTTTAAATTAGTAACACATGAAAAAATAGATTTTTGTAGGTATTTTTGTTCGACTTTATGAGATTTTTTAAGAGCACCGAAACTACAAAATATGACAAATCAATGTATCTCTTTGTTGTTGTTGTTTTTTTTTTGTCGAAAATATCCATGTATTATTGTGCAATCATATAGTCTGCAAATAACTGTTATCTTTTGAATCTTAATTTTTTTCTTATCACTTAAGGTGGCGCAATTTTTACTCCAAAAGCTCGTGCGTAGGTTAAATGCTGATTATCTCGAAAACAAGCTCGGGACACCCACTTTTCTTTCCAAATTTGGAATCAACATTAAATTTCAATTCGGAAAATCGAAGTTTTAAAAAAAGTTTAAATCAATTTCCAAAAGTAGGCAGTCACCTTAATGCATTCATCTTTGTTGTTTAATTTAGGTGTCATTACTGCTTCTCTGATTTTTCTCTTTTTTCTTTGCCATGGTTGCTATTCGATTCAGTAGCATTCTCTGTGGAACTTTCGTGACCTGGATGTGTTTTAATATGTTCTCCAAAAAGTATTCGTTAATTGACTCTTCTTTTTGTGGGTTTACTTCGCTAATTATCTACCATATGTAATATCTTGGAACTATAGGTAAAACGATGTTCATTTTGAAGAAGTCATCTGTCAACTTTGGTAGTGCATATTAAATTATTGCCAACCAAAGTTTTGTGGATTGCATCCAAACTTTAAACATGCCGAGAGTCGCTTAAGGGACGCAATGTTTTTTTTTTGTTTAAAGGCGAAAGTCAAGCGCTGAAATCCTTACTTTTTCTGTTTCATTTTCTTGAAAAGTAAGTCAATGTTAGTTTAAGTGTACTTTGACTGGATTCATAACAAAATAATAAGAATGACTTGAATAAACAAATGTTTGCATAGCTTGGTGAAACGTCTCGTTGTCATGCTAAAAAGTGCTCCTCCAGACAAAGTTTGGTAAAATTCCATGTCGCTTTGTTGACCTTTTTTTTTTTTTTTCTTTTTTGGACTTTATATGCTACAGGCAACAAAGCCTTCATCAACTATTTTTTGATTGAGCTGTAAATAAGTTTTCAGTTTTATTGGAAGTGTTTACTGGAGCTAATCATCCAATAGCGCAGCGCACTGAGTCTAAAAATAGCTCAAAGATTTGGACAAACATTGCATTCTGTTTAACCGCTACGAGGATTATACGAATCGATTTTATTATTTTTACTTAAAGTTACAATAATAACCCATGTAAACTAAGATCAACTGCGATCGGCTGTAAAAATTATCTGCTGAAAGTAAACTTGTAAGTTAGTTTGTCCGAATTTCGCCTTTGTCTTCGTTTTTATGACGTCACGGCTGCGCTGCGCTATTCCCTGCATAGGCAAGCAGCGGTACTTCATGCCGTAAACTAATATTGTCGTATTTTTTCTTTTTAATTAAACAACAACAACAACGACAAAAACAGAACTGGTAAAGAACATGAATAAGAGCGTTGATCCTTGCGAAGACTTCCACGCCTATGCATGCGGTGGATGGGAAAGCAGACATCCCTTGGAGGACAACGCAACATTGGCAATAACTTCACCATCTATTGTGTCTAACGAAAACAGCAACGTTCTTAAAAAGGCTTTGGAATATGCTCATCTGAATTATTCAAAGGTAGAATGCAAAGCAGCTTTAGAACGTACTTGTAATATAAAAAAAGGGAACTAAAATTTGTGATAACATATACAGATGGTTGGACTTTCAAGTAGCTCGGATGACCACTTTAAATAGCGGTCCCGTCTCCCCACACTCATCATTACTGACCAACATTGGAGGGACGTAAAAGAACCACTGAGGACGTAAAGAAATCCTGGCAGTGACCACCCTCAGTGCATACACCTCATACTAACCATCTCATGTTTGTAAATTGTATACTGAAAATCAATCTAAACTTCACGACTCAATGTAAAGCGATTAAAGATTATTAAAGATTTAGAAAAGGCGCGCGCGTGCTGTGTGTAGTTACTGCTGTATGCTGCGAGGGAAGTGTGAATTCTCGAGTGTTCTGCCAATCCCGAAATGCTTTATAACTGCACACAGTATGCATATCAAGCAAGTTTGTTTATTTGTTACATAAAATACGAATTACAATAACTATTATTTTGGATAGCAATGACGCAAACTGAAAGTGCGCTTGTGTGCTGTGTGCTCTCATTAAGCACACGCTCTAAACCAATCAGAACGCGAGATTTATGACAGTTAATTTATAAATCCATATAGAAAGGACACTATATAAATTATAAATCATCATCAACGTTATTTAATTCCCGTGCCTATCGTAGGCAAAGCTAAATAATTATAAAATAAAATAAAACAAAATAATATCATAATAGCAACATGTTTAGACGGCACACTGTTAAATCATAGTTATGGTTAAATCTTAGATAACTTACGATACGTTACTAATAGGATTTGTTTATTCCTTTCCGCTAGAACGACGCTGTGATGAAAATGGTACGTGTGTACGACTCTTGTATGAACACCACCGCGGTAGATGCCCTAGGATTACAGCCCCTCAAAGATTTGATCGAAGAATATGGCGGATGGAGCATTTCACAGAACTACAACCCAAATGTTACCGTAGCGCAACGAATTGGCAGAGCTGCACGTGAACTGAATATCGACTCTTTGTTTGGCATGGATGTGCGACCCTTTTTCTTAAACTCTGATGTGAATGTGCTAATGGTTTGTATTATATTCGTTCATTTTGCCTTCCTTATTCTCTCCTTCTTTTCTCAATGTCATTCTACCTTTCTCCCTCATTTCCTTCCTTCCTTCCTTCCTTTTCCAGACCTTCAACTTTTCCTCCTTCCTTCTTTTCAACCTTTTACAACGACAATAATAAATAAAAGATTTTTTAATCGATAAGTTTTTAAGATTTGATGCTGATTTTTCGTAAGGCTCATCCGCAATACTGGAAAACTATAGATATGTCAGTGAAAATTTCAAATCAATCCATTCAATAGTAATGTTTCTACAGCGCGAATTTTCAAGCAGCGTCATTACTTTTTTTCTGCTCTAGACTTTCCATCCAAATTAAACATAGACTGCATTAGTACTAGATGGTACAATTCTGAAAATTTTAGAAAATTGTACCTGAGGATGAAGAGAAAAAGCCAAAAACTAAAAATAGCACTGTTTGATTTTCGGCCGTAATAAGCTAATCACTTTTAAAAAAACTCTTACAATAAAACATACTGTTAGAATCCAGGATATAATCAAAGCACATCATATCAAAAATCCAGTTAAATTGACGCACTAGTTTTGGGAAGCGAGCGAGAATAAAACTGTCCAAAAAAGGCTATGAATTAGTTTGGATCCACCTTAACGGCATTGGTAAAGAAAAAAAGTTGGATGGCCAAGGTTAGGCGCGTCGCACTGTTACTTTATGTACTCAATAACTTTAAATTCATCAGTTTGGAAATCTTCATCCTGCATTTCCACGTGCTCCATTAACCAATTAACTCCATTCTTCGTCATTTACTTAAATTTCCTATTTTTTCTCAGTTAAAAGGGCTGGCAACAGGACTTAACAAAAGGGACTATTTGGATCAAGACGAAGACAGTGAAAAGGTAAAACATGTCCCTATTAGTTAATTTTTTTGCATGACAGAGAATATACAGTTATATATTTTATATTTATCTATCTGTCTAGAATAAAATTTTAAAAGCTGTTAACGTTTATATGATTTCATTGGGGGGAGAGCTTGGGGATACACAGTTTAAAATTGGTTGTGGTCCTCCTACCTTCGCTACATAAGAGACCTGCCATTATTTACAGAGGGGGTGCACAAATATTTTTGTGCACCAAAAAGGGCGGACCAAAAACAATTGTGTAATAAATACTCGTAACTTAATTGTTAGACACTTGTCAACTATTTTTTTTTATTGGGACGGGAGAGGGGAACACTAAAATTTGAGTTTTCCATGAAGGGGGGATAAAAAAATAAAAAAATAAAAAATTGAGCATCACATTTCGCATTTCCACAAGCCCCCCTCCTCCCTGTAAATAATGACCTGTCCCTAAGAAATTCAGAATTAAGGTTTGCAATGAAGTAAGTATGAAGTATGAACCTGGTTACTTGGCGTTACAACGGTCATAGATCAACGAATGTGTACTCGGTTTTCCTAGTATCTTTTAACTTAACACCCTTGATTCTATCAATATGAAATCCTCCTCCTCCTAAGCCTGTACACCCCTCTTGGGGTATAGGCCATCAACAACATCTGAACGCCACAGAGCCCTGTCCTTCGTCTTTTCCTCTATGTGGCTTCCATAGGAAGTCCCTCCTTCATCCGGGACTAGATTCTAGTTTCTCTGTTGGTGAAGTTTCTGTAGAAATAATGACGTAAAAATCACGTCACTGCAAAACTGAGATGTCATGAAGACTGTGAACATTGACCAGAGAAACATAAAAATATACCCGTCATTTCAATAAAGCCGGAGAACCCGGAAAACCCTCGAAGCACAGGAGAGAACCAACAAACAACTCAACTCACATACAAAACCGAGCTCGTCGGGACTCGAACCCGGGTCGCATCGGTGAGAGGCAAGCGCTATGCTATGCTATGCTATGCAAACGCCATGCTATATAAAACTTATTAGTTGTTGTGTTACTGTTATCAACCTCTTATTACCAACGTTTCTTTCTTTTTTCTTTTTTCTTTTCTCATTTGGTGGCTTGTAAATCATTGATTTGAAGATGAAAAGCGACACCTCAGTTTTGCAGATTCTCTCAATTGTGATTGGCTAGTGATTTTGCTGGAAGTTTACTCGAGTGCCATGCATATCACCCTTAGAAATGATTCAAATTTGCAATCAGATTTCCCTCCTTTGATAAGCGTTTAAATATATCTTTATGTTAATTATTCCATTTTTAGTTTTCTTTCTATTCTATCTTATCTATTAATTTTTATCTTTTATCTTAGAAACGTAAAGAATACAAAAACTACATGAAAGCTGTGAGTCAAATCTTTAATGTCTCGTACACCAAAATGAAGGCAATCTATGATTTTGAAGTAAAACTGGCTAAGGTAGGTATTTAACTACCATCTTTATCTCCATCTTTATCATTCGTCAACAATCTCTATTATACTCTTATTATTGTCATAATTTTCTACCATTACTATTTTTCGTTAACACTGTTATCTTTTATATTATCATCAATGTTCATTCATTCGTATTCATTATTCTTCATCCACGTCTGCAACAACATCATTATCAGAATGAACATCATTCTTATCCTCATCATTCGTCTCATTATTCGTCTTTCTTCGTCATGTTCATCAACACACCTACAGGGGCGTCGGAAGCTGAAAATCTTTTTTGGAGTCTACCTAGGAGAGTGTCGCGCTGCWGCTTTGATGCCGACAAAAAGCTTAGAATGAATATAACGGAGTCTAACGGCTAAAAAACCACCATTTTTTGCCCTAGCGCCCTTGGTTTTTATTATTATGCTAATATGATCATTTTCTTTTTTGAAATAGATTTCAAGTGGAAAAGACCCTGATGCAGAGTTGATGGAATATATTAAGTCCATTGCCATATCCGCTAGAATCAGAAGAAGTACAGAAGATTGGACAATAACGCTTTCTAGGCTTAGCAGAGTGACTGGGTTTCCGGTACAGTACCATTAGATAAATGCATTTTGCGAAAAGTCAAAAAAGGTCGTTCAAGTGTGACATGTATTACACATATATTACGGCACGGCACGGCACGGCACGGCACACAGAACCGTTGCTAATTCCGTATGCAAAGAACAGTGCCATTAATCCAATTGTGTTTTTGTTTTAGTGGCCCGTGCTGATTGAAGTTTTGGATATTCTGTTTGACAGACGGTTAACTGGAAATGAAAAAGTACTTTCTTTGCCTGCCCATATAGTCTTATTTAAAGCGATTGGTCTTTTGTATAGGAAAACGTGAGTTATTTTGTTTTGTAATCTGACACCCATCTATCCATCCATGGTTGATCCATCCACTCATGTTCTCCTTACATGACCTCCATCTATCCATCTATCCTTTCATCCTATGACATATAAACCATACCCTATTGTATTCTATTTATTTTTTGTTCTTCAATTAAATAAATAAAATAAATAAAATAATAGTCGTTATTACAACACTTTACAAACGTTAGAGTTTACGATATAATAATAAGTATATGTAATAGGACTCCATGCTGTCCAATTAAGAAATAATTGGACGATGAAAATGAGGCCGTAGGCCGAGTCCAATTTGGCAGTCAGAGGAAGTTTTGGAGTCTAATTATTTCTTGATTGGGGAGCATGAAATCCCATTGCCTATTAATTATATAGCTGCCTAATTAATCCCATATCAACAAGACCTGTCCAATTAAGAAAATAATTGGACAGTTACCTATATGAGATTAATGAGAAGCTGTACAATTATATCAAAAATACACAGGTGATTATTGAAAATCTCGCGCGCTGATGTATATAAATTAGATACTTTAATCTCTATATAAAATCATATTAGCAAAGAGGCACCTATTTATAAAACACCTTTAATTAAATGTCTTTGTGCGACATGAGTCTATTCCTAGTATTACGTACTCTTCTAGGTGGCAAAAAACTATAAAGGGGGTGTGCAGGATTACTTAGTATCTTATTCCATAAGTGATTATCCTTATGTCTTACTAATTCTTCTACTGGTGTATACTGTCATAGAAATCATGCACTTTTAGCTGACTACATTATGTGGCAAGTCGTACGTCATTACGTTGGTGGTCTTCCTAATCAATATCGACCACCAAAAGGAGATTTTTTAATAAGCACCAACATACCACGATGGAAGCAGTGCATCTATGCCATGTTGATCCCCTTTGACATGCCACTCGGCCTACTGTTTGTGGATGTTCATTTTAATGATGACGCTAAAGTTAAGGTACTTTTGCTTTGTTTGGGCTTTCCTAATTTTGATGTCTACTACCATATTACCATAATAACAATAATAATAATAAGTATATGTAATAGGACTCCATGCTGTCCAATTAAGAAATAATTGGACGAGGAAAATTCCGAGGACTTCCAAAATTGGCAGTCAGAGGAATTTTTCGAGTCTAATTATTTCTTGATTGGTGAGCATAAAATCGCATTACCTATTAATTATATAACTGCCTAATTAATCCCATGTCAACAAGACCTGTCCAATTAAGAAAATAATTGGACAGTTACCTATATGGGATTAATGAGAAGCTGTATAATAATAATAATAATGATGATGATGATAATGATGATAACAATAATGATGATGATCTTTAATTTTACAATTATTTTATAACTCTTTTATTGAAGATCAGAGAAATGATCGAAAACACTAGAACTTCATTTATCCGCAAACTACCAACTCAAACTTGGATGGACAAAATAACTCAGGAGAAAGCAAAGGAAAAGGTACCAAAGAATTGAATAAAAGGAACGTCATTGATATATGGGTCTTGGTAGCGCTCATTAGGCACCATGAGACCTTTTAAGTAAAAGATTTGCAAAATCCTCGACAGCGACATCAGCTGGAAGCCTGTGAATTTTTTTTCTTTTTGGGGTACTGTGCGTTGAAACTTTCATTTTAAATATTGCCATTAAAGTCAAATCATCTACAGGGAAGGCAGACTTTGAAAGGGCGCGCGTCATTCAAAGTAAAGTTATTAGTACACTTAAAGAAACATAAAGTGGTTTAATAATGCCAACTGGCAAGGAGGCAAAACAGTTGGCTATTTACAAGCATGGTAGAGAAACTGAATTTGAACTAATCAGAGATCAGGACAAMTACATTCTCAGCTAGTGGCCTCAGCGGGACTCGAAGCCAGCACTACCGGATTGCAAGACCGACGCTATGACCACTCGACCATGCTGCCTCCCAATAATGCAATGGGTATGCTGCGGTTTAATTTTTACCGAAAGTTTACCCATCCTAAAGCTTTTTTGCTTTTTTAAGAAATACTATATAGAGAGTACATTTATTCATAATGAAGAAATAGAAAACGCGCGCTCGTGCAATGTGTGCAGTTATAAAGCACGCAGGGGTTAGCAGGAGCACGAGACAAGTGTTAGGAGAAGCACGACGCGTAGCGTAGTGCTTCTTGACACTTCTTGAGTGTTTTGCCAATCCCCAAGTGCTTTATAAATGCACACAGCACGCGCGCGCGTTTTCTATTTATATTTCTTCTCCTAAGCAACTCCAGCTTTTCCCTCTTTGCTTACTTAAAACTGTCATTATTTGACAGGCGCTGGCAATCGCCATTGAGGAAATTGGATATCCAGCGTACATCAAGGATCCTGTAAAACTCAAGGCACAGTATGATTCGGTAATTAACACTGAACAAAATGATGATTCAATGATGGTTTTATGAAGTTAATAATAGCTGATCTGGGTTAGGGGACTTCTAACCCGCAAATGGAACCCTTAGACAACCTCTGGGCTGATCAAAGTCAGGGCACGCCTAACTCACAGAATGAAACCTGAAACAACCTCTGGGCTGATCTAAGTCAGGGTATGGCTAACTCACAGAATGAAACCTGAAACAACCTCTGGGCTGATCTAAGTCAGGACATGGCTAACTCACAGAATGAAACCTGAAACAACCTCCGGGCTGATCTAAGTCAGGGCATGGCTAACTCACAGATCAAACCCTGAAACAACCTCTGGGCTGATCCAAGTCAGGGCATGGCTAACTCACAGATCAAAYCCTGAAACAACCTTTTGGGCTGATCTAAGTCAGGGCATGGCTAACTCACAGAATGAAACCTGAAACAATCTCTGGGCTGATCTAAGTCAGGGCATGGCTAACTCACAGATCAAACCCTGAAACAACCTCTAGGCTGATCCAAGTCAGGGCATGGCTAACTCACAGATCAAACCCTGAAACAACCTCTGGGCTCATCCAAGTCAGGGCATGGCTAACTCACAGATCAAATCCTGAAACAACCTCTTGGGCTGATCTAAGTCAGGGCATGGCTAACTCACAGAATGAAACCTGAAACAACCTCTGGGCTGATCTAAGTCAGGGCATGGCTAACTCACAGATCAAACCCTGAAACAACCTCTAGGCTGATCCAAGTCAGGGCATGGCTAACTCAAAGATCAAACCCTGAAACAACCTTTTGGGCTGATCTAAGTCAGGGCATTGCTAACTCACAGATTGAACCCTAAAACAACCTCTAGGCTAATCTAAGTCAGGGCATGGCTAACTCACAGATCTGAAACCCTGAAACAACCTCTGGGCTGATCTAAGTCAGGGCATGGCTAACTCACAGATTGAACCCTGAAACATTTTCTTGGCTGATCTAAGTCAGGGCACGGCTGTTTCACAGATTAAACCCTGAAACAACATCTGACCTGATCTTACTCAGGACACGGCTAACTCACAGATCGATTTTGCGGAGGCGGAAGAAAACCAAAGAAGCCCCGAGAAAAGCCCTCGAGTCTCACAAAATCACATGTGATGCCAATGCATTTCCAGGAATAGAATTTGAGACGCCAGAGGTGAAAAGCGAGTTTACTTCCGCTAACCCATCCTTCCCTCTGGAACTGACATTCCAAGTTCTGATGCATACTTTGATCGTTATGAGCAACAGTACCGTGGATGATAGTTAGATTGTTTATGATTTATTTATTGGTTATTATCTTTGCTACTCTTCAGCTCAAAGTAACAGACAGCCTGATGGACAACATGAAAGCCGCCAATCATTTACTTAGAATGAGAACTTTAAAAAACTTTGAGCGCCCAGTGGACAAAAAAGAGTAAGAACAGCCTTGTGCGTGTGGGTGTGGGTCTGGGTCTGGGTCTGGGATTTGGCTTTGGCATCGTCTTTATCTATTCTAATGTTTTTCTGTCATTTCTATTTTCAAGATGGACATTTGCAAGTCCGGCCAAATACAATGCTTTCTATGCTCCTTTCTTGAACCGAATAAGTAAGTCAAAGCGACTACTTGAACAGCACTTTTACAAACAATATCAATGTTTTCTATTAATTTTACCTTGTTTTTTATGTATTGATTCGGGTGATACAAGGTTGAACAAGGGATTGCATGTATGTAATACTAACATAACGAACATGATATGCTGAATTCTAAGTCTATTTTTTAGTATTCCTTGCTGGAATTCTTCAAAAACCGATGTACAGCCCAGGATATCCGAGGTAATCTCTAAATGTTAAAGAAATAGAAAACGCACGTGTGCTGTGTGCTGGTATAACGCACGCGGGGACAGGTAGAACAGAGAAGTGTTTCAAGAAGCACGACGCGTAGCGTAGTGCTTCTCGACACTTAACGAGCGTTCTGCCAATTCCCAAGTGCTTTATAACTCCACAAAGCACAGTGAGCACGTTTTTTTATTTATTTTATAAAATATAAGGGTAAGTGTGTGCTGTGTGCTCCATTAAAGCACGCGCTACCAACCAATAAGAATGCGAGATTTGTAACAGTTATTTTATGATTACTTTTAATGACTTAAAGGAACGAATTCCCTAGCTTATTTCTGCTCTTCTTCTTTACCGCCTCGTTACATTTATACTACTTCTTCTGCTTTATCATGCAGCAGGAATGGAACTTCCCTTAAAGCGACGCTCTAACTAATGTGTTTTTACTGTTACTTTAATAATAATAATAATAATAATAATAATAATAATAATAATAATAATAAATATTTATTTAGGAATGCCTAAGTCACAAGCGTGTTTCACATTAGGGTCTTGTAAAAATCTCTTTGAAGTGGCATCTAGGATTGTCCATGCAGGGTAGAACAGAAACAAAAATGGTCCTAATGTTGTTCTCTGAGGGAAGCCAGCACTGATTGGAATCCAATCTGAAACTAAATTACCTATCTCAAGACCTCTCAACGTTCTCGTCTATCTGAGAGAAAGCTTATGCTCCAAGAAATCAAAGAACGCCTGATACCAAGGTCTATTTGTTTTTGAGGGCAAGCACATTATGAACAATCCGATCAAAAGCTTTGGAAAACGTTCACCATGGCAGGATTTTCTATATACGAACGCCAGCTAGGCGTGGACCATATGCAAACAAAACAAGGTACTTGATATCACGCATGACATCACCGGCAAAAGAGAGTATCTGGAAAGGATACCAGAGGTTCAAACTTTTCATTTTACGATCGTAGCTAATGTACAGCGAGAGAAATTCGAGATTTCGTTCAGGGGGTCCTTCTCATTCCTTTGAAGGAGATTTATAGGAGAATGGATGGCAGCGGAACAGTATTTTTGACCTTTTTGGGCCCAAAAACTAGATTTTTGTGACCGTTTTCAAGAGCGATTGCTTTTCAAACAAATATTGAGATGCAAATCAGGGGACTTGGATTTTCACATTTGATTAACAACATTCAATGGTTTCTCTTTTTTAAATTCACGATATTATTTACAATGCACGCTTTTGATTCTTTCAATCCTCTTGGGGATATTCATTCGCATTTTTAAAACACTCCGAGTTGGCAGCCCTTACCGCCTTGATTTATAGTATCAGCTCTACGACCCTGTTTCTTGGACGCCATAAAACGTAAGCAGAGTCATAATTTTCAGTGTTTGATATAAAAGTTTATGTTTTGGATATGCATATGTAATGGGGCTTCATGCTGTCCAATTAAGAAATAATTGGACGAGGAAAATTCCGAGGACTGACAAAATTGGATGAGGCCGTAGGCTGAGTCCAATTTGGCAGTCAGAGGAATTATTTCTTGATTGGGGAGCATGAAGTCCCATTACCTATTAATTATATAGCTGCCTAATTAATCCCATATCAACAGGACCTGTCCAATTAAGAAAATAATTGGACAGTTACCTATATGGGATTAATTAAAAGCTGTATAATTTTAACTAATACAGTAGTATAGGGGATGGGGGTTCCAGCGCAACGACCACCGGAGGATTACCCGTCTAAAGTACCCCCCTCGATTCGTACCGCGATTACCCGCATCCCGTGTTTATGTAAAATATGTTAGTCTATATATGGAGTGCGAAGATTGTAAGAGAATTTTTAAGAAAGAANTTAATAATAATAATAATAATAATAATAATAATAATGATAATAATAATAATAATAATAATAACAATAATAATAATACGCACTTGATGAGGGCATTAAAAAATCTCATTGCGCTTATAAAATCTAAAAAAAATGTCATTCGTTATAGCTACCTGAATCATGGTGGTATAGGAATGGTTATAGGCCATGAAATCACGCATGGTTTTGATGGAACAGGTAAGATCAGGAATGTAAGGTAATAGAGCGGTTTTCGTTCGTATTAATGAGAAATTATGCGTCGAATCCGTAGCCTTACTGGTGCCTCGCCTCATCTTACCGTAACCGAAACTACTCGTTGTGGTTTGGATAAATTACTGGGCAACAACGATGTGAAGGCATTTCAATATTACCTACCGAGTATGTGCTGTAAGTCATTACCGTACGTTTCCTACTCATACGATAACCATTCTTATGGAAAGCCATTTCAATGTTACGGCGGCATGTCGTACGGTGTACGTGCTGTAAGGAGTTAGTACCATACAAAAACCGATCTAATATCGATTCTTCTTCCAATTATTCATTTACGTTCTATAACATAATTATGGCATGTTTTCTAGGTCGTTTGTTCGACAAGAAGGGCAATTATAATAATTGGTGGTCAGCTTCATCTGCAGCAGCCTTTGTTTCCAAAGCAAAGTGTTTCGTCAAACAGTACAACAAGTATAGAATATTTGATAAATATGTAAGTTTTCACGTTTTTTAGCTTAAAAAATCAAAGAAAATGCGTATATACAGATGCAAAGTAAAGCGACAAAAAATTTAAATTTTGCCTAAAAATGCGTAAGCATGACATCATCGTGGCATGGGCGGCATTTGTGGCGTACGCTGCTAATGCGTAGTCTTTCACCGCTGAGAGTCCGACGAGTCCCTGCGGTCTTCACATGTGAATTGAGTTTATTTGATGTGTTGTTTTATCCTCTGTTTTATCAATCAGCACAATATTTCTTAGTTTTTCTATTTGTATGTCTGTTTGTACGTCTTTCTATCTATCAGCATGTCTCACTCACTATATTCGATCCTGTGTTTATAGGCAAATGGAACTATGACGCTGAACGAAAATATCGCAGACAACGGTGGCATTAAACTGGCATATGATGTAAGTAGAAAAATGTACTGGAATTACTTTATCCATCCATCCATCCATCCATCCATCCATCCATCCATCCATCCATCCATCCATTTCTATCATCGTTTTTCTATTCTTCCATAGGCTTATCAGCGATGGGCAAAGGAAAATGGGGTAGAGAGAATCCTGCCTGGTCTTGATCTCAACCCTAACCAACTCTTTTTCTTGGGTTTTGCTCAGGTAAAACACTGCAGCGCGCAACAGTCTATCAGCAATGACGAAATAATTCCATTTCATTTTCTAAATTTCCAACTATAAATGACTTAATAAAATGGAAAAGATTATCCATCGTTAAAATAATCCAAAGATGATACTTATTCATTTGTCTCACGATTGTGGTAGTTTGGAGGACCCTGGCGTTTACACTGCTACTGCTAGGGGTGATAGTGTATACTGACAAGGCAGGATCCAGCCAAAATTTTAGGGGGGGGTCTAATTGAGTTTAGGGAGGGGGGGGGTGCGTAGTAATTGAGTTTCTTCCGTCAACACCACGGAAAACAATAAAAACAGCATCTAATTCTTCAGTTTTGTTTTCTGCTGAAGAGGATCTTCAGCCACCCTTCCCCTCCCCCCCCCCCCCCCCCCCCCCCCCCCCCCCCCCCCTTGATCCGCCCTCGACTGAAAGGTGGTCTTACTATATATCATTCAAAAACAAAAACCTTAATAAATAAATGCCTTCGTCTTCTTGATATCTATTCTTTCCTCTTTTCTTTCCACTTTAGTCTTGGTGTAGTGTGTATAGCAAGGAAGGTGCTTACACTCAGTTGGACACTGACGTCCATTCCACGGGAAAATACAGGTTCGTTTATTGAATAAGAAATAATGAGGTGGCCAAGTTTGTCATTTCATTTGTTCATTTGTCAGGCAAGTTTCAAAGTCAAATTTGCTTTTTTCAATAATAGAGATTTTACCCCATCACGTGATGGCAGCCATGACAGGAGGTACAACAATAGAGGCGTTCTCCCCATGAAAATGAAACATTTCTTATATAAATAACACTAGATCAGATTTAAAAAAATAATAATAATAGCAATTTAAAGATTATTCCTTCCTGCTGTTATGTCTGCATTAATGTGATGGTGCAAAGCCACTACAGCACGAAAACGTTTTTTACCACTTTGAATACGAACTTAGAGCATGCGAAAACATGTTTCACTCGTGTTGTTTGCGCATGATGACAGATCCTCGGATCAAACCCAGACTACAGTGGCGAGTGACGGTGCATTCGCACCGAACACTGCAAAACAATTATTCCATTAGTCTCCTCGCACCAATGTCCTCATCAAGTCTCCAATCCAGTATCAGTTTGGCATTCACACAGCAGCCATGTTTATTCTCAAGAGAATGCAAACCTTTGTTTAAATTTATTCTCAAGCATTTGAATAAGAGGCTACGCGTGGTGGAATCTATGGTTCAAACCAAAATGGCTGCCGAGTGAAATAAGCCCATTATTGCTTATTTAACTTTATTTAATTATATATTTATTTTATTTTTTTATTTTTTCATTATTTTGTTGTTAGAATTATTGGTTCTCTTTCCAACTTCAAGAAGTTTTCTGAAGTTTTTAAGTGTAAACCAAACAGTGGCATGAATCCTGTGGACAAGTGTGCAATCTGGTAAATCTGGACAAACGAGTTCCTGGTTTGGTTGTTAAGCTTGTTGACAGCGATCATTTAGTCGTTATTATAAAATAACTGTTATGAATGTCGCGTTCTGATTGGTTTTGAGCGCGTGCTTTATGAGAGCACATTGCACGCGCGCGCACTTTCCATTGCGTCATTCCTATCTATTACAGTAATTTGCATTTTTTTAAAGAAATAAAAATTTTGCTTGTTGTGCTGTGTGCAGTCATAAAGCACTTGGGCATTGGCAGAACACTCCAGAAGTGTCCAGAAGCACTCCGCTACGCGTCGTGCTTCTCCTAACGCTTCTCTCGTGTTCTGCCAACCCCCGCGTGCTTTATGACAGCACACAGCACGCGCGCGCGTTTTCTATTTCTTCAACACTGCACGCATGCGCAATACTAACCATTCTAACATTTTATATTCCAATCTCGTACCCAGAGCCCTTATTTCTTACTGCGCATGCTCGACGAAATAATTGGGCTCTGGAAAACTCCAAACCGGAAGACCCAGATTCTGGGTTTCTTGCACATGCGCATTATGACAGACTAGGTAAATTGAAAATGGCGGACGATGTTCAACGAGCATGTGAATTTGCGCTAGCAAAATTAGATTTCGAAGATGGTTTTCAGTTAAATTAACTCCGAAAATATCTATTGGAGGGACATCAATATAATTTCCATTACAAAACCAGCACAACTTTTAAAAATCCGGCCCTACAGGCTTTTTTGGTGTACTTAATTCGAGACGCCATCTTGTTTACTTTCCCTAGTACTGTAATTTTTACTTCCGGTATCTTCCTTTGTTCTCGAAAACCAATCACAGCACAGGAAATATTGGAGTTTTCCAGAGCCCAATTATCTCGTCGAGCATGCGCAGTAAGAAATAAGGGCTCTGGGTACGAGATTGTTTATATTCGTAAGGTGAACTGTTGATTTTTGATTGTTTGTGATTATTATTCAACTTATCAATAAAAAAAAATTAAATTAAAATCTTTTTTATAAATGTTCTACAAAATGTACGTATAATTAATCTACACCCAGCTAGGCGGTCTCATCATTTCCTGTGTTAGCTCGTCAATCAAACTTTTTCGGCGGTATTTCCAGCTCCTCTTTAAGATAATTTGGTTCTTTGGCATAAAAAAGCCCTGTTTTGTTCGGATAGCTCAGTCCCGTGTGAACAATGAAAGGACTTACGGCCGAAATTAAAATAATTAAGAATCCCGGCGAGTTGACGTATTTTCAATTAACATAAAGTGAGAGCTGATTGGCTCCCGCTATTGTTTTGCGCTTACCTTAAAAACATTAAGGCTCAGGTCAAACGTCGAACTTTACATGAGCCGAACCTAATTGAAACAACAGATAACAAGACGGTCTTCTTTGATGTGATTAGGTTCGGCTCATGTGAAGTCCGACGTTTGACCTAGGCCTAACTCTACCATACGATTCATTAGTCTGTCAAGCTCGTACAACCGTTAGAACTCCCAAACAACTTTTTAAAAGTTTTTTTTTTCCTTGGAGACCGTTCATCTTAAACGAAAAAAATCCAGTTTCCATCTCGGTCTGCGCCCTGGTATTTTGTTTTCTGCTGATAGAAGGTAAATAGGTAAGATTTGTCTCAAAGTTACAACAACATTTATTAATACTTTTGCTGCGTCGGATACTTCTGGATACTTCTGCACCAGATTTTTTGACATTTTTCTGTATTTCTATAATTTTTTATCATATTTTTCTTGTTCGAAAAATTACTTAAAAAAGCTACTAAATGAAGACCTTTTCTTAAGTTGTATCAGAAAAGATTCCGAACAAGCCATACATTTCATGAATAATTAATGACTTCAAAGCTTCATCAAACTCTCTCTCCTGCAGCTAGGGTAAAAATTAAAGACGAAAAAAATCAAAAGTTTAGGATTCTCAAAAAGCTAAGTATATAAGTAAAAATGTGCTTCATGTTAAACACGGAATGAGAATCTGAGCTGATACACCGGATTCGACCTCCTTGAAAACTGACTTGACAACCAGACTCAGAGGATAAGCGGTAATGAAAATTACAAATATCGATACTTCCGAAAATGTTGAATATATTATTTTGAAAACCTATAAATATTCATGTAAATCGTAAAGTCGGACATCTCACGAGTGTCGAGTACATAGAGCAGAGTCCGGCAATGTCAAGTGTCGTCGACAGGACCCCGCTTTCCCGTATAAAAAAGTAAGAAGTTGACAAGCAAATTTTTATTTGTTCGTGAATTTAACAATTGCGAGGACATTGAAGGCAAGAGAAAGGAAACGTACCTCAAATTGGTTTGTGAAAATTATAAGTGGATTACGTTTATAAACAACTATAAACCGGCGTTATTTCATTTATTTTTAACCAATTTCAGTACAGACTATTTATTCAAGAATTTCAGAAGCATATGTGAATATACATTATGAACGTAGCACTGATTTTTAATTCCCTTGATATAAAATGGTCGCTACAGACTCGCGTTTATTTTCTATTTACTTTATTCTCTAAACATCGCTCACGAGAGTCTTCTCCGTGTGTGACGTAACTACGTTCCCCGCCGGTTTCTATACAAATCTCGCCATTTTGACTCTATTTTCCGCTTGAACTGAAGGTAAGCAGTAAAGACTTTATTTGTCTCTATTTGATCGTTTCAAACACCTGTAAATCGCATGAGAATTGACGATCGGTGGAAGTTATTAAAACGCTTTAGACTCTGTATTTTTCATTACCTCTGGTCCTCTGAGTTCGGTTGTCAAGGTGATTGTCAAGGAGGGTGAACCCTGTCTATAAAAACAAACCTAAATTATAATAACTTAACAGGACACTGTGGCGAATTTTGCAGGCTAAAATAAAAAAAAGCAGCGGCGGGCTAAAAATTATTATAACCTGCTGGCATCAGCCAATCAGAAACCAGAACATGATCTATCCAGCCAATGAGATGAGGGAAACTACACAAGTGCTAGTTAGCTTGGCGATGTTTTTCGCTAGCCATCTGGCGTCTTTGAATCTCAAGCGCTGCACAAAATCACTGAAGCAAACCTGACAAAAAAATCAATAGAAGAGCGTCTAGAAAAGCAAAGCTTGCCAGTCCTAAGAGCTAGAGGAAGAAAATCTAAAGAAACTCAACTGAAGAGGAAAGAGTTTCAAATAATACTAAGAGTCAAATATTATGGGAAGTTAAAAAGTTCAATGAATGGTGTCCCCAAAAATGGCGCCGAAGTAAGTGTTAGTCCGTCAAATGAAACAAGTTCACTTCAAGCTTTTTATGTCCAATTGCCAGTTTAATGAATGCACTGTTTACATTAACTTTTCCGAATGACTATTCTAAGTTTGCTTTTTATTATTTCACCTTCTGAGTACAGCTTTATTTAGAGAGAACATTATTATTTTTGTTTTCATTCTATGACAATTTTGGCATTTTATTAAGAGTATTAAATATGTACCCTTAAATGGGTTCCCTCACAGTTTCCTGCGCCATCTTGAAAGGTACCC